GCAACTTAAATCTAAAGAAATCCAAGCGGCAATAAATAAATAAACAATAAAAAATAAAAACAATAAAATAAAGAAAAGAAAAATAGAAGGAAAAAAGAATAGGAACCGTCCAAAATAAAAGTTGGGCTTTGATGGATAAGTGTCCCCATAAATGTCATAAATAGCTAAAAAAACTTAAGTGTCCTAATAAATTAGGATTGAGACATTTATAAAAATATGTCTCTAGAAAATAAATGTCCCTATATTTCTAGAAATAAGAAAATTTTATCAAATGTCCCAATAAATTATATTTGAGGCATTTTAAAAAAAATGCCTCCAAACAAATGTCGCAACATCTATATTTTGTTGTAGTGTGTAAAGAATGCTCAATTAAATATAAGAAGATGCATAACTTAATTCAAACTCACTTATGTTATTTAATCGATAGTGTGGCAAATCCAAATAAAAAATAAAATAATATGTTTATTTAGAAGAAGAAAAAATTATAACTCATTCATATTAGTAGTTTTCTTACTTTAAAATAAAATTATATACTACAAATACTATATTGTGAATTTTCTTTTAATATTTAATTTAATCAACTAGTAACATTTGAATCGATGAAGTACAAATCCTTTCAATTAGTAAACATTATTCAAATATTTGAATTGGTTGCTTAACTATTGACATAACATGTTACATAATTGATTTATCAACTGTTTATAAGTAATGTCTAATATCTTTTTAATTCATTTGTGTCATAAAAAATAATAAATTTAATTCCTAACACATGTAAGAACCTAATCGTAAATCATAATATTTTATCAAAGTGTAATATTTGAACCAACTAAGCTCAAGTCCTTTCATTTCGTAAACATTATTCAAATATTTGAATCGATTCATTAGCGCGCTCAACTATTGACAAGAACGTCTTAATCAAATTAACTATTATTAATTAAAGTGTAATACATTTTTTATTCAATTTTATCATAAAAAAATAATTCTTAAATTACGCAAGAATCAAATCATAAGATTAATTAAAGCGTATGATTTGAATCAATTAAGCGCAAATCCTTTTAATTTGTAAATATTATTCAAAAATTTGAATCGATTAAGTTCAACCACTGACAAGAACGTATTAATCGAGTTAACTATTTATAATTAAAGTCTACTATCCTTTTAATTCAATTTTAACAACAAAATAATAATTTAATTCGTAAAATCGTAAGAATCAGATCGTAAATCGTAAGATTTAATCTAACCATGAACCGATTAAATCTTACGATTTTTACGAATTAAATTTTATTATTGTTTATGATAGAATTCAATAAAAAAAAGGTTACTAAACTTTAACTATACACAAATTGATTAATACGCTATTGTAAATTATTGAGTTTAGCCGATTCAAATATTTAAATATTGTCTACGAATTGAAATGAGTTGAGCTTAATCGATCAAATCTTTGAATATTATTTTTGAATTGAAAACACATGAGTTTAATTGATTCAAATATTACGATTTAATTAAATCTTACAATTTACGATTCAGTTCAAACTTCAAATTCTTTCGAAATTCATTTTTAAATTACACGAGTTGAACAACATTTCCTTAGATTTTTAAATTATATTATATAAAGATTTGTTAGTATGGGATATTTTTAATATATAATAATAATAATTATATGAGAATTAATAATTTATTTAACATTATTTATATAAGTTTTATAACCATTATAAATTGTAGCTTTGTGATATATATCCGTATTGTTAGTTTATTACCAATTATGTGTTGTGTCTTAATGGTAAGTTTTCTTGTATGTTTTCAGATGGTCACAAGTTCGAATTCAGGTTGATGCAATTTCGGATGGGTGGTTTAATGATTTTTAGGAATAATGATATAATTGAATTTATTAATTTTAATTCAGCAATAAATATATATTTAAAATTGCATTAAAATAGAGAGGGTAAAATTGACATTTCATTAATAGTTTATAATTGGTAATTTTTTTAAAATAATAATTGTAAAAAGGGTATTTGCGACAATATATAAATAGAGAAAAAATAGGTTTTTTTGCTGGGACACGTGTCGCAATTTGAAGGGGGTATCTCATAAAAGTTTAGAACACAGGAACTCACCCTAGAAAGACCCATATTTTATTACTACTGCATCAATCTGGTGGTCGTAGTAAATGCTAGAATTTACAGTGGCAAACAAAATATTTATTACAACCATTTATCGTAGAAAAACTTTTGTCGCACCCGTATTCGCTATGGACACTAGGCCAAAATGCAACACTGGCGACGAAATTTCGCGACGAAATTCGTCATGTAGCGACGTTTTTTCGCCGTTAGCGACGCTTTAATTTCGTCGCCAAATCATTAAAAAAGCGTCGCGTACTGCCCCGTCGCAAAGTCAGCGACGAAAATCCAATTGCGACGCAAAGCTTGGCGACGAAACTATCCATTCGTCGCGAAAATCGTATTTTCTGAAAAAAATTATTTTTTTATTGTTAGCGACGGAAAATTAGTATTGTCGCATGTATTTGCTACGAATTTGTTTATTTCGTCGCAAGTTCACCGAATCTGTGGGCGACTAAATAGTTGTTTCGTCGCCCGGTTCTATTTTTTGTGGCGACGAAAACTGAGTTAGATTTCGTCGCAAACTTTTTTTTTTATTATTAATTTATTTATTTTAATTATTTTTTATTACAAAATAAAATCCCCTGTTAAAAAAAATAAAAAAAAAACCAAAACCATATTTACTCAAAAGTATTTAAAACCACGATTACCAATTAAATATCAAAATACAACACAAACATCAATTCAAAAATTACATAAAAACTTGAAACCATAAATGTATTAGTTCAAGAGGCACACTAATTTCATCTCGTTTTTATACTCCACCATTAAAACGCTCGAGCAAGTTGTTCAAAAGAGCTCGGGTTTCCTGCAATTGCTGTTCTAATCGATCAACTTTTTCATCTTTAACTTTATTTGTTTCTCGGTTTTCGTTCAATTGTTGTTCCAATCGATTCACTTGTTCGTCTTTCATTTGCATTTGTTCTTGCATTGCCTTCATTTGAATCTCCAGTTGAATCTCCACGTCTGATGGTGTTGAAGAAAATCTCGACTTTCCAATCCTTGTGCTTGAACTTTTAATTCCAAGGCCTTTACTCTTTCCCAAAACCTTTTCAATTGCAGTCGAGTTGGCCGTGCTTTCGTCACTTCCATCACGCATGGTCTCATCATAAACTCGCTCCAAATCAGCCTGAAAATGATTATGTACAAAAGTTTAGCAAAAAATTCGACAACATAACATCTAAATACGAGCATACCCAAAAAAAATCCTTACCAGTACACAACAACTTGACATATTAAAAAAACAAAATATCCATAGCCACACATCTAAACATATAAAGAATTAACATACTACCGATTGAAGAATATAATTACACTTTACTTACCGAAATGAGAAGTTGTTCAGGAGTTGCTGTCCCGTTATACGGCTCTGTCTCTCCTTCCTCACTAATAGATGGTCCGGTTTCCCTCAACGCATCAATGCCCATGTAGGCTTTCTTATACGTGTCAAACACGGTAGGATTTTTGCCAAACTTTTTAAACTAAAAAATAGATTATACAATAAGTATGTATTTTATATAAACTTAAATAAATTAAAATTATAGATTAAGCCACTTACATGATTATAGGACCAACTATTGATACTTGTTCGACCCCAATGGTGGTCTGTCGACACTTTCTTTCTTGAGTCCTTGCATTTAGTGGACTTGGACTGTGAAAAATATTGCACAAATTAATACATATAAACATATGAAAATATAATCATAAATTAAAAGCATATTACCTTCCCATCATCCCCCGGAGTAGAAATAGAATGAAACTGATCACACAGCCTCTCCCAAGTTTGAGCGCTAATCCTATCTGGAAGATTTGCCTTAGCAGCTGCAAGGTTAGGCACTTTATCAAAAACCGCCTTCAATCTTCTATTTTTTGCATCTTTCCAACGACAATTGGCCGTCTCGTTGAACCATTTCTTCGTAGCCTCATTTTCAGGAAGTTTCCACGTTACCTAAAAGGCATACAAAAAAATTCATAATTAATTGATAACAAAATAATTATAATAACTGAAATAAATAAAATAATTTGAACTTTCAAATACCTTAAATGCTTTCCACAATCCTTCGACACGACCCTCTTTCTTGTGCTTAGGCCATGAAATAGACGGATCAAAATTGTCCCAATGTGTAACCTCGTTACTAATTGCCACCGCCAACTTGTACCTCCCGGGTGCAACAGGAATACCCATACCGTCAAACTCCAAATCAACTATGTCGGTACTTGTAGACTCATCACCTATAGGCTCAACAGAAATATCTTCCGTCGACATTGCTCGCCTGAGAAAGAAAATAAGATACACATATACAGAAATATATATACAAATAACAATAATAAATTATGGCAATAAAATGATAACATTAAAACAAGTACATTACAATCCAAACAAGCTAATTAACAAGACTTCAAAAAAATATTAGAACAACAAAAATAATTATTCACTCTTCCATATCATCTATAGCATTTATGTCATTATTTATAGGAAGTATCTCATAACATTCATCTTCAACTACATTGAGATCATCAGGAGTCAAAGCAAAGTTGTCTCTTGGTTTAATAACAATCGGAACCACCCATGGCCTATCACGTGGATCATCAACGTAAAAAGCTTGCAATACTTGACATGGAAGAACAAAGGGACTCGCTTTTATATCTGGCTTTGTTATGTTCACAAGTGTAAAGCCCAAACCGTCCGTCTTGTTCATGCGAGTATTAGCCCAATCACATTCGAATAAAACTACCCTCTTTGTACCTACGGCGAATGAGAGTTCAATAATATCTTTTATTACGCCATAGTACCCTACGTCTTCTTCTTTCGGAGATTTATCCTTGGAGTTCGCGAAAGTAGTTGTCTTTGCTTTGACAAAAACACCACTGTTTTGAGTTGAAAGAGACTCTTCAGATGACTTTGTGCGGAACATAAATCCTTGCACTTCAAATCTCTTGAAAGTCTTCACTCTAAATTGAGGAGAACAAGCTAAAGCTTTCATATCGTCTCTCAGTTCACTCTTTCCTTGCACCTATGTAGTCACCAATTATTCATTTTTACGTTTTAAAACCATTTACAAACTAAGTTCACGTTAAACCAAACACTTACGTAGGATTGGAACCAATGACGAAATTCTTTGTCTTGTAATTGCTGAATGCGCCATTGGTAAGCAGGGTCACTTGTCGAGATTTTGTTCTTAATGGTCTCGAAGTGCTCCCTAAAATAATTGTGTTTTTTATTGGATGAAAATCAAATGAAAATAGTAGTAGTTTTAAGATTTTTATAAGTAACTTACTCAATGTACGGTTGAATTTCATCAGAGTTAAAAAGACAATAGTTGTGTGCCTTTTCCATTTCATCATAAGTAAGAGTTCTGTACTTAGATCGCACTTCATTGCCTTGTCTATCATCGACAGAAATGTTCATAGATGAACTTTCTGTGTACAATGAGCAAAAATTTAAGCACTCCTCAGTGATGTAGCATTCAACAATTGAACCCTCGGGGCACTTTTTATTTCGGACAAATGACTTTAAGTGACCCAAGTATCTGAGATTGAAATAAATATTTATTAAAAATAAATATTTATTGAAGTAAAGAAATTAGATTTTTAAATAAATTAAGTACCTCTCTATCGGATACATCCATCTATAATTCACCGGTCCAGCAACCATTGCTTCATGAGCTAGATGAACCGGCAAGTGCATCATAACAACAAAGAATGCCGGAGGAAACAATTTCTCAAGATCACACAAAATTTTCACAATGTCGGAGTGCAGTTTTCGAAAATCTTCAATTGAGTTAGTTTTTGAACACAATTCTCGAAAAAAACTGCACAACTGGATTATTGTACTAGCCAACTTTTTTGGTAAGTCCACGTTACGGATTGCTAATGGAAGCAACTGTTGCATTAGTACGTGGTAGTCATGGCTTTTCAATCCCCCTATTTTGTCTTCACCAAAACAACGGGCTATATTAGATGCATAGCCGTTAGGAACCTTAACATTTGCTATAACATCACACACGGCCTTCTTGGATTGGGAAGACAACTTGTGATACTTTCCTAATTTTGGAACGAGATTGGGAAATCGAGGACCAGATTTGCCTGACGGTGGCTTTTTAATTTTTCCAATGTCCTCCTTAGCATTGTCAAACCCGTCATTTTTGCCAAGAATATTTAATAACCACCTAAGCAATAATTCACCGACATTTTTCTCAATATGCATGACATCAAGATTGTGCCGAATGAGATTATCTTTCCAGTACGGTAATTCAAAGAATATACTCCGTTTTCTCCATTGGGAAGCTCGATGCACTGTTTGGCCTACGCCAAATGTAACATTTATACCCTCCGTTTTTTATAACACCTCATCTCCTGAAGGCGGAGGTGGAGCCCCGTCTTCAGAAAAACGACTATGACCCATATAACACTGTTTGTTAGACTTGTACAAACGTTCAGACACAGTATTTTCGGCACAACTTGGGCAAGCAAGATAGCCACTTGTACTCCACCCCGACAAGTTACCAAGCGCAGGGAAGTCGTTGATAGTCCACAAAAGTGCGGCTCGCATATTAAAATATTGCTTGGTGTACGCATCAAAAGTTGTTATCCCAGAACCCCACAACTCATTAAGCTCGTCGATCAACGGCTGTAGATAAACATCAATGCCATTTTTCGGGCCTTTAGGACCAGAAATAAGCAATGACATCATCATATTAGAGCGTTGCATGCACATATTTGGTGGTAAGTTGTAAACCATTAGAATTACAGGCCATGTGCTATGTTTGCTGCTCAATGATCCAAAGGGATTAAAACCGTCAGTAGCCAAGCCAAGCCTTACATTTCGAGGGTCCAAAGAGAATGACTCGTGCTTCTTGTCAAACTCTTTCCAAGCATCAGAATCAGCAGGGTGCCTGAGAACGCCATCGTTACATCGAGACTCAGCGTGCCATCTCATGTTAATTGCTGATTTTTGACATATAAATAGCCGCTTGAGCCTCGGAATCAATGGAAAGTGTCGCAAAACTTTTTTCGGTACCCTTTTGCTCTGAGAGGTTGAAGAACTCGGTTGGTTTTCTACTGGATTCTTCCATCTTGAAGCATTACACACTTTGCATGCATTTAAGTTCAAGTCATCCTTCCAAAACAGCATGCAGTCATTCTCACACGCATCAATCTTGACGTAACCACACCCCAATTTACCGATGAGCTTCTTAACTTCATAAAAAAAGTCGGGTATATTTAAAAAATCAAGTTTTCTCATTAACTGAAGGGTTTCAGTAAATGTATTATCACTCATCTTGCCACGAGACTTAATTTTGTAGAACTCCATGACAAAAGAAAGTTTAGTATATACCCGGCATCCATCATAAACGGGGATGCACCACTCTTCAATGAGTGTACGAAAATCATCAGTTTCGGGGTTGGGTTCTTCGTGCAGATCTTCTTGATCGTGATGATGATCGTGATGAAGACACGCATGCAGTAAGTCTTCCATGTTATCACGTACATCAACAGGTTCATTTGAAATTGCAACTTCGGGAATTTCTATATGATTAGTATTGTTCATTTCCTCGCCAATGTATTGTTCTTCGGACTCTCCATGCAGAGTCCATCGGCGTTGCCCATACATCTTATCCCAACCCCTCTAAAGTAAATGTTTATGAACGAATTCACGATCCCCCCATTTACGACACTTACAGTCTCTACATGGACATCTTATTTTATTATCAACGTCACATCTAGCGAAGGCAAAATCCATAAATTCCACACAACCATTTTGATATGCTGCTAACCGACGATCACCTAATAAAACCCAACTCCTATCTTTTGGCATGCTTTAATTAACAAGATTACCTAGAAATTGGGAAGGATCACAATTATTAAAAGCAATTTTTCAATATTTCATAATTTAGCTTTACCTTATGATGTGATTGTAATTTACCCTAATTTAAAGCAATTTTTCAATATTTTTCCGAAAAGGTTTATTTATTTATTTATATATTTTATAGTCATAATTAGGAGTGGAAATCGGACGGATCGGATCGGATTTGGGTGTTTCGGAAAATTGATTCCGATTCCGATTTTATCGGCATTTTCGGAAAATCGGAAATTTTCGGAAATCTTCATTTTCGGAATTTTTTCGGACATTTTCAGTTATTTTTCGAAAATTTCCAGAATTTTCCCAAAAAAAAAAAGAACCACCGACACAGTAGCAAAGCAGACAAAACTGAAGAAAGAAACATACACACTCACCAAAACACACACACACAACAGACTCACAAACATAATTCCGAGCAACGGCTTTTCCAAGCAAACACATAATTCCGAGCAACATAACACCCAAGAACAATTCGCATAATTCCGAGCAACAATAATTCCGAATAATTCCGAGCAACACAGGCTCATCAAATCAACATAAAACAAACAAACACATAATTCCGACAAAAAACCTAAAAATAGATCGATAATCGAACACCCACGTAATTTTGAACATAAACAAACAAACATTTAAAAAAACCTAAAATTACCTTGAAAAAGGAGGAGTAGCGGCAGACGGTGACAGCAACGGTGGAGGGCTGTCGGCAACGGCGGAGGGCTGGCGGCGGACGGCTGTCGGCGACGGCAACGGCTGCGACGGCAAAGGATCGGCAGCGGAGATAGGGGGCAACGGCTGGATGACGGCGGCGGGATGACTGTCAGCGACGGCAACGGCTGAGGGACGGCGGCGAACCGTCAGCAGCAGACGGCGGCGGCGGGCGGATGTCGGCGACGGACGGCGGGCAGATCGGAGGAGATGGAGAGGGGGAGAGTTTGAGAGAGAGGGCCGGGGAGGAAATAGATCTAATTAGGGTCTGATTGAATAATAAGTTAATCTTTGCGACGTTTCCAATTTTCGTCTCAAAACATATACGAGAACTAGCGACGAACCGAAGAATACGTCGCTACTAAAAACGAAAAAAAAAAAATTTGTGCACATTTCTTGCGACGCTTTTGTAAATCCGTCGCCGGGATATAAAAAAAAAGAAAATTTTACTAAAACGGTGGCGACGTTTTTCCCTTTCCGTCGCCACATATAAATTAATTACAAATAATTGGGCACTACTAGCGACGTTTATGCACAAACGTCGCAACATATATTAATTTTTTTTTTTTAAATAATATTTGCGACGATTCCGCCGGTTACGTCGCAACATCTGAAATATAAAATCACAAATATGTAACGTAGCGACTAAAAACTATTTACGTCGCCAAATTATTTTTTTTTTTTTTTTTTCGTATTGGCGACGTTTGTATATTTTGCGTCGCTACCTAGCGACGCTTATCCGGAATCGTCGCTAGGGTTTTGAATTAAAACTAGATTTTCCACTTTAAGCGACGATTTAAGCACAGAAACGTCGCAAACTTGCGACGAACGCATAACCGTCGCGAAAAAAATCGTCGCCAGTCTTGCATTTTGGCCTAGTGGGAGAAAGTTCGTAATAAAACCATAGCAAAAATCTTTTTACTACGAATTTAATATCTTACACTACATATTTTATAGGGCAAATTACGGCCACCTCTGAGTTATGGTCAAATTACGAAAACCCCTTTTTGTTTGGGTAATTACAGCCACCTCTCAACTATGTATTATCTTACAAAAAGACCCCTCTATAGGTAAATTTAGGGTTATTAATTCGCTAAAACCGAACTGAAATTTCGGTACGCCAATGTTTCATACCGTTTACCGAACTAAATATACGATTTAGTTCGGTAAATAACCGAATTACATAAATTTTATGTAAAAATATTTAAAAAGAGATGTGGTTGTAATTACCCAAATAAGAGGGATTTTTTCGTAATTTGGCCATAGGGTTGGCCGTAAATTGCCCTATTTTATATCATGTTCTGTAAGAGTTTACAAAGTTTTCTTGCACGAATAAGAGTTACAATTGATTAAGGACACATGCATGCATCGCAGTCACTAATTCTTTTATAATATCTCGTACCACACCTGTTTATTTAGGACTCCTATTTATTTGGGCACTAAATCTCTTTTCCAAGAACACACCAACTATATTCTCATAAACCCTACGTAAAACTTTCAGAAAAATCTCTCTTCTTTCCATGAAAATTTGCACTAATTTCGATACTAAGGATGTAAAGAAGAACAAGAATTATGGAGATGGTGCTGCATGGATAAGGGGTCCACTGATCGGCAAAGGAAGTTTCGGGTCCGTTTATCGAGCCACTCTCAAGAAGAAGAGGAATCCCACGTCGAAATTGTACGGTCATGATCTTCCGTCAACAATGGCTGTGAAATCTTCGGAAGCTTCCGTTTCAAGCACGCTCCGAAACGAGAGGGAGACCATGCGACGTTTGAAGGGCTCTCCGTACTTAATCGAGTGCTTCGGCGACGAGACAACCATGGACCGCCGTGACGGTTCCCTATTGGCCTACAATCTCTTGTTGGAGTATTGCTCTGGCGGAAACCTAGCCCAAAGAATCAAGAAATCTCCGTCGGGTTTGCCCGAATCCGAGATTAGGGTTTACGCGAGATGTATTCTCAGAGGATTGGATCATATTCACCGCGCTGGGTACGTGCACTGTGACCTGAAGCCCGATAACATTTTGCTGACTAAGCCGTTTTTTAGGGCGAAGATTTGCGATTTCGGGTTGGCGAAGAGGGGAGGCGGTGGCGGGTGTTGTAGGAGGGGTACCACTATGTACATGTCGCCGGAGGCGGTGGTGGATAATATACAGGAGGCGGCGTCAGATGTTTGGGCGGTCGGGTGCGTTGTGTTTAAGATGCTGACAGGGAAGCACGTGTGGGGCGGTGAGAAGGCGGAGGAAATATTGAAGCAGATAGGTACGGAAGACGAATTGCCTAAAATTCCGGAGGGGACTAATATATCGGAGGTGGCGAAGGATTTCGTCAAGTGCTGTTTAGTTAGGGATTCGATTTTGAGGCCGAGTGCTCCAATGTTGTTGGATCATCCTTTTCTTGATGGTCTCGAAAACGATGACGTGGACGATGATGTGGACTGGAGTGATGGTTTTGATGTTGATGTTGATGATGTGGACGATGATGATTCGTCGTTTTTACATTGGTTTGAAAACGGCGTGGACGATGGGTGTGGTGGGTCCGGGATGGGTGATATTTTCTCCGATCAATCGAATTAGTTTATATATGTAATGAGAAAGGAGTTGATTCCTGGACTAAGTTATCACGAGAAAGATGAATTTTCATGGTTAATACTTAATATGATGGATTTATTCTTTAATGGATGAAAAATGTGTTCATGGGTTAATACTTAATATGGATTGATTTATTCTTATTATGGATGGCAATTTGACTCGCCCCCGACGGGATGCCCGCCCCGCCCCGCCCTGAAATTTTCGGGTAATTACCCGCCCCGAAAAAAAATGGGACGGATATGGGGATTGAATTTTTTTTTTTGACCGGGTACGGGTATGGGGATGGGTTTGCCTATACCCGCCCCGTACCCGTCCCCGTACCCGCCCCGCATTATTTATATATATAATATATATATTTTTTAATTATTATATTAAATATAAATAATTAAATAGTAGTAGTATATTAAATATTAATTAAAAATTGGGAATTTTTAGGTTTCCAATATATAATTAAATATTAGTATTATAATTAAATATTGATTTATTTGTTGAAATAAACCTTTAAATTATAAGTAAATTGTATATTTATTTATTAAAAAAAAAAGAAAAAAAATAGATGGGGATTTTTACCCGCCCGGATACCTGTGGGGATTTTATGGGACGGGTATGGGGATTCTTTTAATAGCCGTGGGGATTTTTGACAGAGATGGGGATGGGGATTTCAATAGCGAGGCGGGGATGGGGATTGCAAAACCCGCCCCATACCCGCCCCATTGCCATGAAGAGTCTTCTAAGTACATAATTATAAGAGATTACATTCTGAGACACTCTTAAGTCTCAACTTTTAATAAATTACGCTATTATAATTAGGGCTAGAAGGTTTTAATAAATTACGCTGATTATAATTAGAGCTAATTATAATTAGGATTAGAAGGGTTATGAGTTATGCATGAGTTTTCTTTTTTCTTTCTCTTTTTCTTTTTCCAATTATTAGAATCTTAATTATATTTTTTTCTTTCTCTTTTTCTTTTTCCAATTATTAGAATCTTAATTATATTTTTATTTAAGTTATCTACGTGTCAATCATCGTTTAGCATCCGATTCTTCTATTAAAACAGGTCATTCGGTCTAAATTTGCGGCCATAGTTATAATTGACAGTGCTCCGTTCAGTAAAGAAAACAAAATTGACAAGGCTATGATAACTTTTGACAAAACAATTTGGGAAAAATACAGTTTTCATCAGTTTGCTTCGATTTTAGATTTGATCTTCCATATTAAAAAAAAACACATTTACGTCAATTTTTCGTTAAAACTTAAAACTAACGGAATTAAGGGTGTGACCCTCATTGCCTTAACTAACGGACTGGCGGACAAATTGACTAAAATGACCAAAAGTGTTGAATTACTGGAACATGATGGACCAAATGTGTTTTTTATGAACACGGTGGACCAAATGTGAAATCGACTGCATTTTCCCCAAAACAATTTATTAGCCCTAAATTGATAAAAAAGCGACGTCGTTTCTGAAGAAATCTGGCTCTTATTTCTTCTTCGGTGCCGAAAATTAGGCCCATTTCTTTGCTAGCATTAATGGCGAAAAGATAATATCTCCACGCTTTCACACTAATTAATCTCACACATATCTTTTTATTCACAATCTTTTGCAATTCCAATCAATCCCATCAGTTGTTGAGCTCTTCTTCCAGTAAAGCCCAGTCGACCATTATCGTTTATGCCGATGGCGTCTTCCGCCGCCGCCACCACCACCGTCGTGCCTGAAAACATCGCCGATTTGCTCGGGGAAGTTGGCATCTTCACCGCCGCCGGCGAGCCGGTGAAATTTAAGGACCTTTGGGATCAAAAGGAGGTATTGCTAGTTATTTATACTGTATAATTGTTTGTAACCCCCTTCTCTGCTATGGTGATATTTGCTTTTTCGCCTGATTTTTCCTCAAATCTGTTTGCTGAATTATGATTTTTTATTTATTTTTAATTGCAATTTGTTTTTAAAAATCTTTGCTTTGGGCATGTAAATTTGAAAATGAAAATTCAACAAATTCGGCATAAAATACCATTGAATTGATAATCAATTCGATGACGATGCCGTGAAAAGGTTTAAAGTTCGATTTATAAATATCTTATAGTGTTCTTAAGAAAGATGAATATTCCAGAGTTTTGATGAACTAGGGGTGAAAATCGGAATCGAATTTCTGAATTCCGTCGATTCCGATCTGAATAATCTTTTATATTGGAACAATATTTTTCATTCCGAATTTCAAAATTCCGGTTTTTTGGAGCGGAATTAGAGTACATTAGCTTACGATTTCCGATCCAATTTTAATTTCCGAAATTATACACTTATAATATCAATATTATTATGATTGAACACATACTCGATGAAGCTTTTGCAGGAGTTTAACTTCTCCGATTCGGTTAATTCGGTTTACTAGTCTTGCACTTTTTTACAGAGTAATATAGAATATAGAAACAGTGTACATTCAATATTAAAAAAAAGGATGGTAATGAAGGATAAATAGGATGTTTGGTTTTCTTTTTTAGCTTCATCTTCTCTTCTTAATTTGGGAACTTCACCGACAAAATATTCTTTACAGGAAGTGGCTGTTGTTGCACTTTTGAGACATTTTGGATGCTTTTGCAGGTAATTACTGAAATCCCCTCATGACTTCTCGTTCTTTAAAAAAATACTATGAGATTATTTATTTATTTATTTAAATTTTTGTTTTTTATTTTTTATAGCTGGGAGCTTGCCTTAGCACTCAGAGAATCGAAGGAGAAATTCGACTCAGCCGGAGTGAAGCTAATTGCTGTTGGTATTGGTACCCCTGACAGAGCTCAAATTCTTGCTGAAAAAGTAAATAAATTATCCTTTTTTTTTTCCGGGGAAAAATACATTTTTGGTCCCTTAAGTTTACCTCGATTTCACATTTGGTGGTCCTTTGTTCACAAAAAAACAGATTTAGTCCTTCATGTTTCAAAAAAAAAAAAGAAAAACATACTTTTGATCCTTTCTGTCAATTTTCCGATAGTATTGATGGAATCAAGCATACCATCACTGTCTTAATTGACAGACTAAATAGTAAATTGAAGGAAAGGACCAAACGTATTCAATTGTTGAAACATGAGGGAGTAAATCTGGTTTTTCTGTGAACAAGAGGGACCAAATGTAAAATCGAAGGAAACTTGAGAGACAAAAAGTGTATTTTTCCCCTTCTTTTTTTCTTTCTCGAGAAATTTAATAAAAAAATAAAAAGTCGTATATAGTTTCCTCTGTCCATTTTTTTAATAGCTATGGCTAAAATGATCTCTAATACCAATTATTTTGTGCCAACAGTTGCCGTTTCCGTTGGATTCCCTCTACTGTGACCCTGATCATAAGGTAATTTCTTCATTCCATCATTTGATTTAATCATAGAACTAAACTAATTTCAGACACCCTTTCTTGAATTTCAGGCATACGATGTGTTGGGCTTGTTTTATGGGATTCGTCGTACACTTTTCAGCATAGCTAGTGTATATTTCTACAACCTTTTAACGTAACTCGCAAGATAATTTTATTTATTATTTATATCGCTTTTGCATAACCTCGGATTTCTGTACTGTATAAACTACAATACAGACCAAAGCTTTTTCGAGACAACTGACGAATCCTGTGAAGAACTACACTATTAAAGCCACCCCAGATGATAAAAGTGGCGTCTTCCAACAGGTTTTTCGGGATTATCAATCTTTTTTTTTTTTTTTTTTTTTTTTTAACCTTAATTTCATGAAATAAACATGTTTTTAGCTTGTTGAATAATTCAATTTACTGGATTTGATTATTAGGGAGGGATGTTTGTGTTTAAAGGGAAGGAATTATTATACGCGAGAAAGGACGAAGGGAGCGGTGATCATGCACCGTTGGATGATATATTCAATATCGTAAGTCCATCGGTTGTATCTACTCATTAAGGAGTGGTTATTTGTATTTTGAGTCCACAAATTCTATTAATCTTGTATCTGTGTATTCGTGATATGGATTCATATGCTCGATATATATATTTCGTTTGGATGACTACAAATATCGAATACTTGGAAATAAGTGATGTAAATTTCGTTTGGATGACTACAAATATCGAATACTTGGAAATAAGTAATGTAAATTTCGTTTGGACTGTAAAACGGTTGATTTGCGTGGTCATTGTTATTGTTCAACTCTCAGTGGGAGGCGGATTGTGTGTGTATTCGTGTTATTAAATTCTTCGTTTTCTTTTTCTCTTCTTAAGCTTTTCGAACATTGAGACCGGCCTACGATGGACCTTGAAATTTTTTTTAATAAGGAATCCGCAGCTGCAGATGTGCACAATGGAAAATCTTACATTGTCTTGCATTTTATTTTTATTGATAGATATAAAATTAACAATAATATTACATTTTTTTTATTAAAAATAAATAAAAAATTGCGGTAAAAATATTCAAATTTCTAAGCAGCACCATACTAAAACCCATAAAAGTCAAATGTATGTAAAAGTGTAAAAGTTATACATTATTCAAAATACGGTAAATTACGATTACTTAAGATTAAATTACAAAAATACCCTTCTTATTTAGGTAATTATAATCACACCGTCAACTATGAATCTTCCTATATATCCAACATTATGTTGTCAAATTCAATATAATCTTATTCATTCTCTAATTTGTACTCGTTTTGTGCAAAAATGCAGTTTCTGATGCACCACAATCTGATATTTATAAGTCAAGAGACACATCTTATGATCATCTTGTTTCAAAATGCGGAGCTCGAATCAGGTAAAACAGGTGCAACATTTAAAAGATTCCACTGTATCTGACACCGCAAGAGTGGCGTGTAAGAATATTCGTAGTTGAGCGGTGGTTATAATTACTCAAACATAAGAGAATTTTTCATAATTTGACCTTTCTTGAGGGGTTAACCGTAATTTACCCTTCAAATTATAATCCCTTTTTTCTTTTTTATTTTGTGTGTGGTAAGATCTTAAACAAAATGATCGAGACATAATTTTTATTCGAAAGAAATAGAAGAGAATTTAAAATACAGGGGGATAAACTTCAAGATAACATCGAGCCGGTCGTCAAATATTAATTAATATTAAGGGGAAATTTGGGATAACCCCCTAATTTTGAAAATATATAGGGATAGGTCCTATGGATTTTTCTTCCCTAGTCAAAAACCCAAATTCTAAACTTAATTTGGCAGACCCCCCTGAACAAATTAAAATACCTATTTTACCCTTCTAGTTACAATTTAAAACCCTAACCCCTCTCTCAACTCCCGTTGCTTTTCTGCCTCCTCCCACCGCCTCTTCTCTCTTAAAACTCTTGATTTTTTTCTCTCTCTCATCCCCACCACGGCTGCTCCTCCGCCACCAGCGCAAAATCGTCGTTGATCCACCTCCGCCTTTCACCGCTGCTCCGCCACCGCGCTGCTCGGTTCTTTTCTCTCTCTCTAACCATTCTTCCGCCGGCCACCATAGATCCACCTCCACCGTTCAAGCGATCGCTCCCCCTCTGTCTAGCGCCGAAACTCCTTGCCGAGCTCAACCGACAACTATTTCCACCGCCATTTGCTTCAAACTGCTGACCCTAGATGCGAATAATGACGAGTACAACCGATGTGGAAAATCGCTATCCTTTTACAACAAATCTGTAGATCCGACACACAGTAAGTTGACTTGTTAATTTTAATTTGTTTACAAATCTCAGCCAAGAATGTGTGTGTGTGTGTGTGTCTTTTTTTTAACCAGAAGCAAGTGGATAGTTATTAGGTCAAAACTTGACAAGACATATTCTTCTCTTCAATGCTTTGCAAAACTTGCCAGATTGTGTCCATTGGTAATACTTTTTTTTAGTTTGTTATTTATAAATAAATATTACAACTAAAAAGCTTGGAAAAACTTTGGACTTTAATCATTGTGGATGCAACTCCTTTGCAACTAATAGATCAATTTCGTTATTGTGTGGAGAAGTGAAATTTGAGTCACATTTAGTCATATATATATATATATATATATATATATATATATATATATATATATATATATATATATATATATATATATATATATGTAATTATAGATAACTATAATCATGACTTTCTTGGTATAGTGTAGTTGTTTATAACTTCAATTTTTAAGGTGAACTTGATTTTTTTGTCACAGGTCTTGGTGTTCGAACAACTTCTATGCAATAAGTTTTTGCCGAGAGGACATGGTGCAGTTCTTTTGCAATCGATAGATTGAAATTGTTGTTGTGTTGAAAAGTAGGATTTGAAGCTATAAATACAAACTACACTATATATCTGACTATAAGTCACATGTGGTCATATACATGTAGTCATATATAGTCACATAGTAGTCATATATAGTCACGTGTAGTCATATACATGTAGTCATATATAGTCACGTATAGTCATATACATGTAGTCATATATAGTCACGTGTAGTCATATACATGTAGTCATATATAGTCATGTGTAGTCATATATAGTCACGTGTAGTTATATACATGTAGTCATATATAGTCATGTGTAGTCATATATAGTCACGTGTAGTCATATACATGTAGTCATATATAGTCATGTGTAGTCATATATAGTCATGTGTAGTCATATATAGTCACGTGTAGTCATATATAGTCATGTGTAGTCATATATAGTCACGTGTAGTAACTCGTAGCAATATATTGTTAAATATAAGCTATATAAGTTATGTGTTTTTTCTGATGTACAGTGATGTTGAAGATTGTGTTTTTCCAATTTTTTGTTGGGTATTAATTGATTTATAATATCAAGATTAAATTGTGAATTTTTACTTTTGGTGTAGATGAAGTTTTTTTATATAATCATATGTAATATATATACAAGAGTCATGTCTACTCAATTTCAATACAGTAAATTTATCAAAAAATTGAAACAAAATTAAAAGTTAAAAATTTAAAAATTTAAATTTTCTTAAAAAAATATTAAAATTACAAATATTTACAAAAATATTAAAATTAAAAATTACAAAAAATTAAGCAATTTTAAAAAATTAAAAAAATAAAAAAAATAAAAAAATAAAAAAATAAAAAATACAACAGAGGTATATATAAAAAATAATAATAAAATAAACATTTATTATTTTTTATTAAAAAAATCTGAGAATGTGATAAATGCTGGTCTGAATGTTAATTGCAGTTGACTATAATGCTGAATGCAGTTAGCAAAAATGCTGAATGCAGTTGAACAAATATTAGATATAAGGGCACAATAGTACTTTTGCCTCTCCAGGGGGTTATCTCAAAGAAAGAATTTTAGGGGTGGACCTATCCCTATATATTTTTCATATTAAGGGTGTATATCAAATGGACCCTAATATTAATAATAATAATTAATAATTAACAATAGTATTATATTGTAGATAACAACACCTCACTACTCTTTTGAGTCAAAACTCGATTTAATTATAGCTTTCCACCCCGTCAAGATTCATACTCCCGCCGATTTCCATTTAATATATTATTTTCTAAAGATTAAATTCCGAGCAGATGAGTCATTCTTTAAATATAAATCAGATTCAACTAATTATCTTTTAAATATAAATCAGATTCAACTAATTTTTTGATTATGACACTTTTAAGTGTTAACTTTTAATAAATTATGTTAATTATAATTAGGCTTAAAGGGTTACTGGGTTACTGATTATGCTGTTTGTTTGTTTGTTTTTTTTTTTTTTTTCTCAATTATTAGAATCTTAATTATATTTTTATTTAAACTATAACGCGTCAATCATTATGTGGCATTCGATTTTCCTATTAAAACAGGCCATCTGATCTAAATTTGCATTGCTTCTTTAGACATAAAACTTTAAAAGAAATGAATTTATGTTACTCCAAACCCACAATTCAACTCATTCTATCAATTATATACACATTTTTTTTACCAAACAGTAACTATTGTCAAGAAAATTACCAAATAAAAATAAAAATAAAATCAAACCACTCATACAGAGCTAAATACTAAAGCTACCATCTATCAAAGAATTCCAATTAAAAAAAAAAAAGGTGAAATTAAAAGAAAAAAGAAAAAAACACACACACACACATACCTGAAAATTACAGTTGATTTTTTCCGATCGATTTCAATCGGATTGTCAAAAAAAAAAAAGAATGGCGATGAATCTCAATAATCAGGCATGAGCTGACTGATTTTGCCTTCGTGTTCGTTCTCCGATTTCGGCTCCGAAACTCTCAGCCAGACGCACACCGCCGCGAAGCTGAGGATCAAGCTCACAAGCCCGCTGCCGAGCCCGATTCCGACGATCGCCATTACGGACAAGCCTTTACTCTTCATCGGCGGCAAAGGGTACCCGTACAGATCTTTATTCCCTTCGTACGAACTCGCATTGAACCGGGGCAAGTTCCCGCTCCGGTTCCCCAGCGAACCGGGTATGGGTCCGGACAGCTTGTTACTCGACACATCGAAAACCGAAAGCCGGACCAAAAGCCCGAGCTGCTGCGGAATCTGGCCGGAGAGCTGGTTCTCGTGGAGATCGACGACGTTCAGGTACGCGCACAGCGCCAATTGGCTGGGGATTTCGCCGGAGAGGCGGTTGGAGGAGAGATTCAGTACGGCTAGATTCACCAGGTACTGTAAATCCGGCGGAATTTGGCCGGAGATGGAGTTGGACGAGAGGTCTAGGGATTGCAAATTCGTGCAATTGGATAAAAATGGAGAGATTGTGCCTTTTAGAGAGAGATTGGGGAGAGAGAGCTTGTAGATTCGGCCATTGTTGCAGGTGGCGCCTTGGAGGAAGGAGGTGAAACCCTGGCAAGGGTTAGCGAAGGTGGCTTTGGTCCAGTTCTGGAGGTTCTGCAATGGATCAATCAACGATTGGCTGAGTCCGGTGAGGCACTGCTCGTCGTTGGGATCCGCCGCCGCGGAGAAAATCAGCACCGCCGCGGCCAGCAGGTGGCGGCGGCCCCAAAAGAAACCCATCCTCCTAGCACATAAAAAGGAAAGAGGGGGAAATTAAATAGAATCAATCAATCTGTTTCTCTCTCTAGATTAGCGCTTTCTCTCTCTCTCTCTGGCAGGAGGAATTGAATTGTTACTAGAGGTGGTAACTAATTAGTACTGTTTCAGTGGTTTGGTTACTGTTTGTCGTCGAGGTGCGCATGTTAGCATGGTACGAATCCATGGCGGAGGAATGCTAGTAGGGCTACTATATAGGTTGGATTTGGGTCTGTTTTAGAGAGAGAAAGTTGAGGAGAGAGAGAGAGAGAGAGGTGGGAAAAAGTGGTCATAGTAGTGTTTGGGGTTTGGTGAAAATGAAAGTAATTGACACGAGTGTGTGAGAGAGAGTGGTGCAATCAGGCGTGTGGGTGAAGATGGTGACTACACGCATTCGGGTCTCGAGGGTAGTTTCGGTATTTAGGAATAACCTTCAAAATTAGTAAAAGAATATTACAATATTCTAGACGGCCACCCTAAGTTACGGTCAAATTATTAAAAAAAAAAAAAAAAAAACGATCTTCTTTGGTTAATTAAAGCTACCATCTTCTTTTAAATATTTTTACATAAAATTTATGTAATTCGGTTATTTATCGAACCAAATTGTGTATTCAGTTCGGTAAATGGTATGAAATATAGGCGTACCGAAACTTTGGTTCGATTTTACCGATTTAACATCCCTAAATTTACTTCTGAAGGGGATTTTTCGTAAGATAATACATGGTTGAAGGGTGGCTGTAATTACCCAAACAGTAGGGGGTTTTTTCGTAATTTGACCATAATTCAGGGATGGTGGCGAAATATGTATTATATGTGTACAAGTGTATAATAAAAATTTAGACTTATGGCAAAATTCATTAGGTTATAATATGGCATCAATCAAAATTTATGAACCTTGAATTTTAAAGAAAAATATATTAACTAATCGATAGTTGAAATGCTCGTGCGAACTCAGTTATTCAACGTATCAAGGTACATGAGAACATATTTTTTCGTTGGACAAAATTATTATTTCAAACGACGCTGAACTATAATTTGACATTTAGTTCAATAAAAAATTAAATTAGATTATATAATACTAAAATCAACTCTATAATGCAATTATTTTTATGACTCTGATGTTTCTAGCTTCACCCGATTAAATTCGAATGTAATCACATACCTAAATTTGAAATTGCGGTAAAGAAAAAAAAACATTTTTTTTTTTGAAAGCTCGTGCATTGAGTTACACATAGTATTTATTTATCTATTTAACAATAATCATAGTATTAATTTATTGTTTTAACAATAATTATAGTGTGCATGAGAGCCAATAGGGAAATTGGCATGTGATACGAGGCAGTGCCACTTGTTCTTTCGGTGGGTTTTATTTTATTTATAAATTCTAACATCCTGAAATTCTGCAACGAGGTATATAAGTATATATTTAAATTGAATAACACTATTCCCAATTTCAATATTCAACCTCGATTTAATTTATTGCATCTCTCTCTTATATACGTCTAATGCAAAATCCAACAAGTTTTAAAAGATTAAAAAAATTGAACCTTATATTTCTTGTTGGAATTTTTATCTGAACAATGACAGTCGAATTTCTCTATAGTACAAATATTTTTTATGCGGTCATTACTCTGCTTTTTTTTTTTTAATTAATTAATTGTTTTTCTTATTATTATTATCTATAATGACATGCTACACTTAAATCAAAGTAATTATAATGATTACATTAGAATTATCTAGTGTAATTTGACGTTTTAATTGGTATGTACAAATGAATAAACAATAACAAAAAATGTAATGTACAATAGGTTAAATTACGTCCACTCATTGATGTAAAGTCAAATTAAAAAAAAAAACTATATTTTTTTGGATAATTACAATCAAACTCATCAACTATAAATCGTATTGGACGTTCATTTTACAGTATCAAATTTAATGAAATCTTCTAGATTATGTGGAATATTTAATAGTTTGTACCTGTTTTACCTCATTCTAACTCCACATTTTTGAACAAGATGATCATAATATGTGTCTCATGGCTTGTAAATATCAATTTGTGGTGCATCTAAAACTGTTTTTTTGCATAAAACGAGTACAAAGTAGAGAATATTACCCGAAATCCAGAAGATTCCGTAAAATTTGACGTTGTAAAGATGGACGTGTACATAGTTGTAATTATTCAAAAGATAAGGGTTTTTTTTGTAATTTAATATTAGCGAGGTAGCCATAATTGACCCTTGAAATATTACACAATCGTGTTAGGGAAAAAAACCAAAAGAGAGAAAGGAAGAAATAATATATGCTGTTAAAGATGGTGACAATATTGAGCATGCGTGAACAAGTAATAATGATAATTTATTAATATGTAAAACTTATATATGATGGAAATTAATTATGTGTCCTTACAATATGATTTATTTATTTTTTATGAGAAAAAATATCACTTGTATTATTAGACAATATTCGTCAAATAGGAGGGGATAGAAAATCCTTCCTTACAAGTATGACCATATCGAGTAACAACGGTATGGGCCAAGCAATACCCATAATCAAACTAGGATATATATATATTTATAAAAAAAATTATATACATATAAGCTGGTCCCAGAGACAAGATAATATGTCAGTCACGTCAATACAATTTTTTATTTTTTATTTTTTATTATTTTTTCTGAATTTAATTTGTGGATTATATGATGTCAATTAAAATGCAATTTTTTTAGTGAATGAGTGTGATGAGGAATTGAGTAAGACACATGTTTGTTGGTCTTCCTCTGTAGAAACAGCAGTCAACCGATTATTGCCCATCGATTCTCAATAGATATTTTATTTTCATTTGTGGTCTAAGGACATCCTCAAATGGTATGGCCCACAATATTTTTTTTAATTATTATTATTATTATTATTATTATTATTATTATTATTGATATGCCTAATTGGGCCAACCCAATGGGCCTACAATTTCCTTACCTACTGGGCTACGAGCCCAATATCGAAGACTAATATCACCGAGGCCCAAACACCTTCAAGTAAGGTTTGGGCCCAACAAAGCAAACCCAACCCAATAAACGACATATAAATAGAGGTTTTACTCATTTTATTAAGGTACGTCCTATTAACTGAGCAATACGATTAACTGTATTCTCTGGACTATTTCCTCTATCAGCACGTCTGACTTGAGCGTCGGAGGGGTTTCCGCCGGATCAACCCCCGGCCTAGTTTACGTGTTCTATGATCGCAGGTACCTCAGGATCATCAAGTTGTCAAGCTACTGATCCGCTTTGCTCTCCCAGTTCATTTTCTACACCACCCTAGGTGAGCTATATTTTAACATCATCATTTTGGCGCCGTCTGTGGGAACGATGCAAACCAGATCACGTAGCCAACAAGATCCTCCTGAGGCGTCTGCTCGGAGAGAAAATGACACAGCTAACGACCTCCCACCTCGTGGAGGCTCTGGCTTGCCACCTCCTCCACGTCCCATGGATCCGCCTTGCGAGGTTCAGGTGATCCCCCCTCGGGACCAACCACTCGTCGATCCATCACTCCCTGCTCCTCGAATGGTTCAAATAACCGAGGATGCGCTTCAACTCGCGCTGCCACAGAGGCCGTGATCCAATATATCGCCACGATGGGAGCAAATGCTCCCAACGCGATACCAGCACCTGCTCCACATGTGGAGCCACCTATGGCACCACCGCCATCGACTCCCTGGGGGCTTACAACTGCCCCCAAAATATTTCGTTCGCCAAGGGTTATCGACTCCCTAGGGGCTTACATCTGCCCCCAAAATATTTCGTTCGCCAAGGGTTATCGACTCCCTGGGGGCTTACATCTGCCCCCAAAATATTTCGTTCGCCAAGGGTTATCGACTCCCTGGGGGCTTACATCTGCCCCCAAAATATTTCGTTCGCCATTGGTCATCGATTCTCTGGGGGCCTACTTCCGCCCCCCCCTCAAACGGTTCAGATAACCGAAGAGGACCTTCAACGTATGATAGCCGAAACTTCAACAATATCAACTTCTACTTGCTCCTCTAATGGTTCGGATAACCGATAAGGACCTTCAGCATACGACCGCGAAAGCTTCAACTCGTGTTGTCACTGAAGCAAAGACACAACCGTGTGCATCCACCTCAGACCATAGGTCTCGAGCGCCTCATCCTACAGTGGGTGGTTAACCCATCCCAAGGTTGGGCATCACCCTTACCTTTCAACCCCAAGTGGGTTCACATCACATCTCTAGAGACGAGTATAATCTTCTTACTCAAAAAATAGAACATCCCAAGGGGTGAACATCAACCACCAAAAAAAAAAAAAAAAAAAAGTGTGTCAAATCGCGCGCGCGAGACCCAAGAACAAAAAGAAGAAAAAATGAGAAGATGAAGAAAAAAGAAATAGGAAGAAAATAAAGAAGAAAAAAGAAACAAGAAGAAAAAGAAGAAGAAAACTTAAACAAGAAAAAGAAGAAGAAGAAGAAAAAAGAAGAAGAATTAGAAGAAGAAGAAAGAAAGAGGATAAGCCCAGAAGAAAAAAAATCCAACCGAAAAAAAAGGAAGAGGCGCGCGTGCACACGCTGACGCGCGCGTCAGCAGAGAGGAAAAGAAAAAAAGAACAAAAA